AGTATGTTAAGTAATTCCTCGTTACCCATAATGTTGTGGATATTAAGTAATCTAAAGGGTACAAGTTTTACTATCCGAAACATAGTACGATAATTATTGAAACCGATAATGTCAGATTCATTAAGAATGGTGAAATCAGTGGGAGTGATAAAAATAAGAATTTGGTCATTTCAGAAGTTAGGGTGCAAATATCTTTATCCATAACTTATAAGGAAATAATTGTTCCTTCAATTGTTGAACCGTATAACAATGAAGAACAATTAAATGATCAACAACTCTATAATGAGATTGTCACCAATAAATAGATTGTAGAAGAATCATAAGGAATAACATTAAGACGATCTCAAAGAGAAAGGAGATCTGCTATTCCGGATGACTATGTGATATATCTGTAAGAATCTGATTTTGATATATAGTGAGATATATACGGATCCGGTTACATATTCACAAGCCATTAACAGTAATGATTTTACTAAATGGATTAGTGTCACGAATGAAGAGATTATAAAGAAACCTTCTCTCTAGTATTTAAGAATGAATCTTTTAAAATATCATGGCATTAGTAGCTTATTATGATTTAGAGTTACATCAAATGGATGTGAATACAATTTTTATGAATAGGAATTTATAAGAGGAAGTCCATATGTAATAACTTGAAGACTTCATATTAGAGGGTAAAGAATTTATGATCCGTAAACTTAAGATGTCAATATATGGATTTAAACAAGCTTCCTAACAATGGTATATTAAGTTTAATGATACCATTATTTCTTTTGATTTTAAGAAAAACACTGTTGATCAGTGTATATACTAGAAGGTTAGTGGGATTAAGTTTATATTTTTAATTCTATATATTGATGATATTTTATTTATTAGTAGTGATCTTAGTTTATTATATGAAACTAAAAATTATCTCTAAGAACTTTGAAATGAAATATATGGATGAGACATCCTATGTGATAGGAATAGAAATATTTCATTATAAATCATATTGATTTGTTTTTAGAATTGTCTAATAAAGCATATATTAAAAGAGTTCTAGAAGATTTGGTTGGAGGAACAATATTATGAAAAAGTGCAAAGTAATTTATGATTACTTTGTCTATTATGAAATTTTAATTTGTAGCATGCTTTGAGGTTATAATTTATGGTTGCAGAATTTATTTCAGGACTTGGAGTTATGGGTACCATTTTCAGATTGCTGAAAATTTATGCTGCAATTGTTGATCTTCTTGTATGAAAAATGATAGGTATTCTAAAGTTGAAATACTTTATCATTAAAGAAGATATTTAGAAATAACAAATGTTTATTGAAATTATAAGCACACAACTTATGATTGCAATCCATTAATCAATGGACTACCATCCAAGACATTTATGGAACATGTTGAAAGAATGGGTCTTAAATGTAGTCAATGATGATTATTTTTTAATTGTGGATTGCTTAAATAGTGCTTATATATATTTGATATTTTGCGTTGATTAAACGTGTTTTTGATATTTCCTATTAATTAATGTACATGTACGTATTGCTTTAATAAGTGGTAATAAGAATAGTCTTGGAAAAGACATTATTGTTAGATCATTATTGATACTTCTCATTTATAGACTATGTTGAATAGATTACTAGTGTTGTGGTACATGGAAGGAACTGTGTCATTTAAGGATATATAACCGCCATAACTCGCATTGGTAATTTATTTACCATAATATTTATGATGACCAATTTAATAAGTTAATTTGATTTATGGTGCACATTAATGACTATTTTACTAAACCACTACAGAAATTATCATATATGCCAAATGAGAGAATGTAAGATTATTTATTTAATTGTGGCCCACATGATCTGGACATGTGACATATTACTTGGTGGGTAAGTAAATAGATATCAATTAATATTATTTATTTTTTGGTCAATTTATAATTACCTTTTTGGTAATTACTTATTGGAAAAGTGTTTTCCTTTCTTATTCCTTACTTTGATGGAAAGTAGAATTATGTTACTATAAGGAAAACTGGTCCTCTCTCTGCCTTTATAAAAGTGCATATACTCCATCAATTATGTACAATTAATGATACAACACGTAAAAGTTTTATGTGTATAAAAGGCCAAGAGAGAGAAACCAGTTTCTACCTTTGCCTGTTGATCAGAGTTGCAGATTAGTTCGTGGTTAAAGGATCTAGAAGTTGGATTTAATCTCAACAAGGTTTGATATCATGAATCGAGGTATTTATATCTAACTATTTATTTATGCATTATAGATATGTGAAAATCATGAAGTTCTAAGATTATAGGATTCATATTTATTTGTGATGAATAGTTTAACACGAATAATTATAGTTTGCACTATGCGCCTGCAAAAGAGTCTTTGGCGGTCCAATTTAATGGATTGGTTTAGGTGAGTTTTGATGAATTCGGGTTCAGAGATTACAGAACACAATGATTTACAAACGCACCTGAATCGTTGCAGAGACTTGACGGGTAGTTTTGAGAGTATATTGTGTATGATGTCACATGGAATACTTGGAAGGTCGCTTTCTTCTCTTGCTGCCCGCCTTTGCTTTTTCTCTCTCCCCATTCTCTTACAGTCGGTCCGCCGACCTCTTTTCAGCGGCACAACTCACAAGGGTTTATGTTAAAACTTCAAAGGGTTTTAGGTTTTGTGATGTACGCTCTCTATACGTGTGTGTAGCCTTAAATAATTATATATGATATGAATGAATTTTTGGTAGTTTTTGTTTTTTAAGAAATTTTTCCCATAGTCATTCTAACAAGGAATATGTTTCTATTTATCAAATTCAAACATATTTATTTATTCATTCTTTAGAAATGATACTTGTAGGTTGTATTTTATTTTTATTTTTATTTTATATGTTATGTGGTATAAATTTTAATTTATTTCATTCTTAAATATATTATTATCCATTGATTTAGTAAAAATATATATATATTATTACCATGTTGCCTTTTTAATAAGAATAATGACTTAAATTTTAAAAATATATCACTACATGTGTTAAATGACTTTAAAAAATTCAATAAAAAATATAGCTGTTGAGAAAGGTGAAATATATATATATATATATATATATATATATATATATATAAATTATCAAAAAATATTATTTTTTTAGACCAAAAGCACACCGTTGTGACACTGATAGCCAATTTTTTCAAAACTCTGACGTGGTTCTTCAAAAATATTTACGTGACAAATTTGGAGAGTTGGATTTTGAAGATGTCAAAATCCATCTTTATTGAATTATTTGTAAAAGATTGCTACATTATGTGCGAGGTCAGCGGGTCTGTAACTGCAAATCTTGGGCAGAAGGGTTTGTGTTGAAACTGTTTTAGGCTATGTGAGTATGTGAAAAATGAAAAACAAAATCTCGAAGAACTGTACTTATGTTGCTTAAACTATGTTATAGAAATTTAAGATTTTTTTTTTTTTCTTCAATTGTTTCATTTAAATATTTTTTTGGTATATTTTTTAGGACAATGTTTATATCCAACTCATCCAACCTGCTGATGTAACCTAATAGATTTAAAATACATGTCCAAAAACAAAAGTTAAGTTTAAGTTAAGTATTGCCCAATTATTCAGATTTAACCTGTGAGATTTTTTTTTTTTTTCTCTATCCTTTTTCTCTCTCTAAGAAAGACCATCAAAGCGGCCACCGCATAGCCATTGACAACAATCTTTGCTCCCTTCTACATCGCTGGTTCAATAATTCAGATTGTGTTAGATTTCACACAACAACATCACAATCACCATCGCCCCGTCTCTCTGTTTTTCCACAACACCATCACAACCTTTGCTTCTCTCTCTCACCATTACCAACCCATTCCAACAACCTTACATTAATTATTCATTATCAAATATATATATATATATATATATATATATATATATATATATAGATATCCACTCACAACTGTTGCCACCACCAATTCATTCCCATTGTCAAACCTTAGCCCCAAATCTAACAAAATCAATTCATCCCCATAATCGAACCCTAACCTAAAATCCAATTCAATCTGAATTATTTAACACATGTCTGTCTTTTGAACTAAAATTTTGTTATAAAAGACTGACAAACCAACGGTGGCATGAACCAGCAATGAAGTGGTGAGCGAACATAGTTGGCAATGGGACGGCAGAGTTGAACAGAACGAGAACCGGTATTGATGGTGAGAGAAATATGACAAGAAAAAAAAATAAATAAATAAATCTCACAGCAATGGGTTAAATCCGTGGGCAATACCCAACTTAAATCAAACTTTTTCTTTTGGACATCTATTCTAAATCTATTGGGCGACATCTTCGATCATCCAACTGACACTTGCATTGTCATAATTTTTAATAGCAGTACCTTGAAATTGACTACATTCTAAATTTCTAACGAATCTAAAATGCAAGAGGTAAAGGATCAGGGTTGATTAAAAGTGGAAAGGAAGTTTTTCTCGAAACCTAAATGACATGGTGAGAAAATTTGAGGATGCAACACCCACAATCTAGAGGCTAATTCTCTAACAATTAGGAAAGGACAGAAATACTATAGCAACACGACAGATGAAGCAACATTAGGTAAAACTCCAATGGTTCAAATCTGTTTCCCCACTCAAAGAAGGCAATAACATTCACATAATCAAATAGGTCAAAATCTCACCAATTTAAGAACTGTTTTTTGCTCTGTTCCAAGCATTTTGATTTTTCTTGATGTAATCAGGGTGGGTATGCCACCCTGCATATAGTTTCTCTTTTATAATATAGCTTAATTTTTAAAATATACACACAATTACACACAATGTAAAGCATGTTTCTGATGCATCAGGGGACAAAGATCAGTATGGTCAAATAACTCTGAACCATAAAAAATTCAATACCATTAAAACCAAATTGCTAGTGGATATCAAAATAGTCATTAGTGAGAAATTTAAAAATAAATATTGTAGGAAGAAACAGTACTCCAAAACTTATATCCTTCTTTGCCAACTAGTTACGATTGGGTAAAACTGAAGTATCCACAAATAAAAACAGTTTGGAAAACTCCATATTTTCAGGGGTCACAAGGTTCCTAGACGTGTGTTCTTTAGGATCATAGATGACTATATCTCTTTCATCCATCACCATCACAATTTCACCTTTCTTTGTAACACACAACGGCCTTAAGTGATTTCGTGAAAACGTTGATCGCAGACTTCGTTTGACGACGAACAACTTAGTCCAAGAATTCATCTCACCATATTCCTTCATCACCCATACCTTAGCCTGATTCCCATCAGGCGTGCTGCAGTACAAACCAAGGCATCCTTTCACGACCATCAAACCAAATACATCCCCTTCACCTATACAAATTGGTGGTGGCATCTCTTCGAACTCCTCATTCACCGGATCGAAGAAACTTATATTTGCAAATGTTTTACCCAAATCAAGCTGGCGGCGGCCTCTGTTATTATCCTTGATGTAGGTTGAGGATTTCACAAAAAAATGACACACTCGATTCACATTAACACCAGTCTCACTCAAAATTGGATTATGAGTAAACTTTCTAGGTTGTGTCCAAGAATTACTCTTGGAAGAGAAAACCACATAAACAAATTCCTCATAATTACGGTAATGGTTGACCTCTCGGTTAGATATAAGAACCACCTTGTAATCATCAATGGAAGAATCATAACATAGTCCATATAAACAGAATTCATAACCATAAAACGGGCATCTGAACTTTTTGTACGATGTAGTGGATGGATTCCACAAAACCCACGTAGAGTTGTGGTCACCGCCGAGACCACTCAATAATACTAAACCATCGCAAGAACAATAGGATTTATTCATTGGTGAGAACAGTTTTTCAACTGAATCGTCCGAGATTTCATAGCCTGTGGAACAGAACCATTTTGTATGGTTTATCTGCCCGCAAAAGAGTCTTTGGCGGTCCAATTTAATGGATTGGTTTAGGTGAGTTTTGACGAATTCGGGTTCAGAGATTACAGAATATATTGATTTACAAGCCTGAATCGACGCAGAGACTTGACGGGTAGTTTCGAGAGTATATTGTGTATGATGTCGCATGGAATACTTGGTAGGTCGCTATCTTCTATTGCTGCCTGCCTTTGCTTCTTCTCTCTCCCCATTCTCTTGCAGTCGGTCGGCCGGCCTCTTTTTAGTTTTTAGCGGCACAACTCACAAGGGTTTATGTTAAAACTTGAAAGGGTTTTAGGGTTTGTGATGTACACTCTCCATACACGTGTGTGTGTGTGTGTGTGTGTGTGTGTACTCCTAGCCTTACCCAATGATATTGCCAAAAAAAAATTATACTCCGTATATGATATGAATTTTGATAGTTTTTCTTTTTTAAGAAATTTCTTCCTATGGTCTTTCTAACAAGGAATAGGTTTCTATTTATCAAATTTAAATATATTTATTTATTCATTCTTTAAAAATGATACATGTAAGTGTATTTGTGTGGCAAATTTGGAGAGTTGAATTTTGAAGATGTCAATAGAGATGGTATCAGCTTATTCCTCTCATAGCCAAATTTTTTATGTAGTCAGGCCTTTTAACAGTTTCTTTTTAATACATATAGTCGGCCTCCTAAAGTGTGTAAGGTTCGAGCCTTGTCTTGAATCTCTTGATTCTGATGTACAGAAAGTAGATGTTTAATCCCAATTTAGTCCATCTCACCTTTCACTAATTTTTTATTTTATTTTTTTCCACGACCTCACTACATTTTTCCTAATTTTCTTTAATTTTTTCCTAAATCATGACCTCACCACATTAAATCAATAAGGTACCATTCCATTTTCAATACTCTCTTTTGGAATAAGTATATGAGAGATTTAGCTTACCTTCTAACCCAAAAAAAAAAGTATATGAGAGATTTTTTATTCACTAAGTCAATCAAATTTGAATATCATATGATTCATATTTACTTTGGCATAATGATGCTAGTTTTTTATTTAACAAAAAAAAAAAAAAAAAAAAAAAAAAAAAAAAAAAAAAAAACCTCGATCTTTATGTCTACATAATATAAATTGATCACAAAATCTCATGTAAAAAATTATTTTATATGCAAACAAAATCATATACCTTTTGTATTTTATTTAAATTTTTTTTTTAATTCTCATATGTTATATATGGTATGGATTTTTATTTATTTCATAATTAAGTTTATTCATAAATATCATAAAAAGTATAATTACTAAGTATTTTTAATAACTTCATTGACTCAGAACTCATGAATAAGTTATCACTTACATTAAATAATCTTCAAAAATTTGCTTAAAATTTATTGTTATTGAATTATGTTGTAAAAATTGATGTATTGGTGCACTTTGAGTACTATGTGCGTGATTGAAAAAAAATGTAAGACTCTATATATATATATATATAAATGAAAAAGAAATTTTGCAATACTGTTAGGTTGATAATTTATATTCATTACTTAGAAAATTGGCCCCAAATAGGGACCGAAAATAGAGAGTTTGAATATTGGCCCCAAATAAAGAGTTCCAAAATAAATTTAGTATGTGTCTCCTTGAAATTTAAAAAAAGTTCAACTTGATCATTTTAACTATACTTCTAAAAGCTTGAATATTGAGAAGAAGTTCATTATTGTATTAGTTGTTATTGCAACACGTTGTTAATTTATTTACATATACACATGTACAATATCTATAATATTAATTCAAGAGGAAAAAAAAAAAATTACTAATGAACCCTCATGTTTAATAAAAAAAACTTCAACCATTGTTTGTCAAACATTTTTATAAAATGATATTTACAAGAAAAATATCTAGAATTATATTACAATCTTTATTGACATCTTGTTTAATTTAAAATTATTTTATTTAGTTAAAATTCATTATTATTTTTCTAATATTTCGTCTAAGTATATCTTTCCCAAGTTAAAATACTAATTAAATTTCTTCCAAAAATTATATTTTTTAAAAACTAAAACAATTGATAAAGGAAAATTGATTCTGACAATGCTTGTTTCTTTACTTCTTCTCTTTTTAGTTGTAAATCATCGTAGTTTTTCGTCTACTATTAAATTGTATTTTTTGAAGTTTCTCAAAGTATATATACTATGACTAATATTTAAACAACATCATAATACAATCGATTTATAAAATTTTCAAACTTTAATTCCATAATTTAAACCATCAACCTAGAATTTCTAGGCCTGTCTGCAATGGTCTTCGCTAAGGTTCAGATTAGGGGCTATGATTTGATTTCAATGTCTTATGGCTAGGGTTTAGGTTCCGACGGATAGTCGATTGGGATTTGTGGTTGTCAATGGTGATATATGATGAAGAGTTTTAGTTTAGTTATTGGTTTGGGTTGGAGGATTGCTATTTTCACAATCAAGATATTTTGGTTTGTTTGACTATTCGTGTACGCATAAAATCTCTATTATTGAATGATGGTGGTGGGCAGAAATGGTGGCGGTGGCAGTGACAATACTTATTAGGTTATGGTGGTGGTGGCGGAATTCATATCAAACTGGAATCAATGGTCGCCAAAAACCATGGAACTCGTGGTCATGACTACTTGTTATTTTTTTGGTCCGCTCCATCTTTGGAGATCAAAATTCGTGGCGGCGCCTACAAATTTTCTCAAGAAAATCGCTGAATTTTTATTTTTTTTTTTATTTTTTTTTTTTTTTGTGTTTGCTATATCTGTGTGTGTGTTTATTTATACAAGTTTGTGTTTATATATCTGTGTGCGTATGTGTGTGTGTGTGTGATAGAGAGAAATACTGTAAATTGGTTATCATTTACTTTAATTTCATGGTTGTGGGTAAAGCTCAGTGTGTGTGAGAGAGTGAGATGGGCAATTTAATCTTTTCAAGTTTTAATGTGTTAGAATTAAAATACAATACAGAAATAAGGGTAAAAATGTCTATTCACATCTTTTTATTGTTGTTAGAGATGAAAAAATCATTTGGAGTGTGATTGATACTTATTTTCGAGAATTAACTCTATAACATATCTTGAATTTCATATAACAATTTCAATTTCCATTCTTTCACTAATTTAAGCTTAATTTAAATATGTCTCTTCTTACAAATCTACTCATTTATCCTACTGAGTACTGAAAATATTAAACAGTTTTGCAACTGAATGGAAGCTATATGTGTATATATATATACATATATATATATATATATTATTTTCATGAATTTAGCCGCAAAGAGAGAAAAGTCAAGTTACACATTCATGAAATGGATCAAAAAAGTTTGACACCCATGACTTTAGAATTAAGTAGTTTCAATTCTTCTTTTAGAGAGAGAAGTAAATTAAAATGCAAGCTTACCCTAATCCAAGTGCACAGTTACTAATAATAATATCATTTCTAAAGTTACCTGCAGATGAAGGGATTGGTTTTATGTTAAAGGCAAGGTTTTGGGAGGTGAATTAGGGTTGCTTAAAATTAGTATTACACTCTTGCACATGCCACTTCCAATTTCAAAGGTAAACTTTCAATAGCATTGTTATATAAACTGAACATGTATAGCACTTTTGCACATGCCACTTCCAACTTCAAAGGTAAACTTTCTATAGATTTATTCTATAAATAGACCAAAACAATCCCTCCCTTCTCATCAATCATCTCCTCCCTTTTCATCAATCATCTAAGATTTTGCTTTTCATTGTACTATACTAAAATGGGCTTTTCTAAAATTTCACTCTCTCTTGTTTTCTTCATGGTTTTAGCCCTAGCTCTTCCCTCCCATGCCCAAAACTCCCAACAAGACTACCTTGATGCCCATAATTTGGCTCGTGCTCAAGTGGGCATTGCGAATATAACATGGAACAGCACAGTAGCTGCCTTCGCGCAGAACTATGCTAACCAGAGGATCAGTGACTGCAACCTCGTGCACTCGGGTGGGCCTTATGGGGAGAACCTTGCCAAGGGATCAAGTGGTACATTTTCGGGCACAGATGCCGTTAACCTTTGGGTTGCAGAGAAACCTTACTATAATTACACCTCCAACTCATGTGTTGGAGGACAGTGCCCGCATTATACACAAGTGGTGTGGCGCAATTCAGTCGGTCTAGGGTGCGCTAGGGTTCAGTGCACCAATACGTGGTGGTTCATCACATGCAACTATTATCCTCCGGGCAACTACGTGGGGCAGCGTCCTTATTAGGAGTAGGTATTTGGTGTGTTTGGTGCACCACGCACCGGGCACATCATAACCGTTCGTGTTGTACACGTGGGGGCAGCGTCTTTATCCGGGGAGCTTTTTAATCACACATATATATAATCCATGAATGCTAAGAGTACTAGTAAATAAGCTACAATTTGAGCAGTACTAACAGTACTGTTTGATAAATGACAAAAATGTAATAAGAGTGAAGACATCTCTTTCTCGAGTTGCTAGCTAGGGTTTGAGGGAGAAATGTTTTTTCTTGTTTTGATAATGCAAAATGGTGCTTCTACTAAGCATACAATAGCATGCAGCTGGTCAACTATGTATTATAATTCTCTTGTTTTTGTTCTGTGGATTATTAATTCCTTGTCCATTGCCAATAAATTCAACTATTATATATAAATATATCTGCAATCATATTTTTTAATGAACTTTCTAACTTTTATATGTATTATCAATATTCAAATTATCACTTTGAGAGTACATTACTTGAGTATTAATAAGGAGAAAGTCTAAGAAGGAAAAGGCTTTCCCTTTTTGTTTTACCAAATGCTTGGAAGTTAAGACAACACTACTTTGGAAGGTTGTTTTGGCTGCCATCTTGATGATAGTAATTCCTTGTGAGATGGTACTTAATCTTTTACCCCAATTGAACAACCAGTGTAGAACAAGTGTGAAATTCAGTTCATGATGTGAGCTTAAAAAAAAAAAAAAAAACACACACACACACACACACACAACAAAGTGAGACTGTAATTGAACCCTATTCATTAGTCAATTTCGGCTCCCCGCCAGCCTTTGATCCTTTTAAATGGAAAATTGAGAGTTTAAGTCCAAGTGAATAAAATACGAGGTACTTGATTTAAAACACACTCATATATTATAATGCTCCTACAAAGACTTGAACCCTCAATCTTTTTTGAAAGGCATTGAATACCATTAAGCTATCCTGCCTTTAGTATGTTAAATGAATTATTTTTTATTATTTTTTTCTTAGAATACATGTATCAGCTCCACAATACACGTACCATTCAAGTCAGGAGTGCGATTCGAAAGCGAGACTTCAAGGACTTACCTTCCGAATCCCTGCGAACGGTACCATGCCTCTGAGGACCTATTAAATGAATGATTTACCACATTAAATTTTGATTAATTTCTTTGATGTTTTACAAATTCAATATAGAAAAGAATTTCATGAGATCGACCTATTATCACCTACGAAATGCTATTTTGTACTTCCTCTGTTCCAATTTAGATGTCTCTTTTGGGGAATAGGAATTTTTTAGGAGACATGTGGGACATGCCTTATCTCCCTAGAAAGTCACGAATTTGCCCTTCTTAGTTTTGAATATTCAAGTTTAAAATTTTAAATTCTAAGGACATATATAGAAAGATGTAAAATATATTGTTTGAAAAAAGAAAGTGGCAATTATTTTGTGACAGACCAAAAAGGAAAGTATGACATTTTTTTTATAATAGACAAATTTCTTTACAATCTTATCAGCATACTCACTTTTTAAAAAAAAAATCGAATGCATAAATTCTACTAATCAAAATTCAAGATCAATTTAGTAATTCTATATAATTCATCACATGGGTAACTTCTATATAATTCATCACATGAGTAAGATTCGTCAAACAGCATATTCTAACATACTTTATCAAAAGATTCGTCAAACAACATATTCTAACATACTTTATTTTTAAGGGATAATTTCACTGACACTCCCAATAGTTTGGCCAAATATCAGTCTAAAATATCTTTCGAAAATAACTATCATTTAGGTCCATTTTTGATTTTCCATTACAACCTCCGTTAAAAACATGTTAAAAGACAACTTTGCTCCTATTTTTTTAATAACATTTATTTCAAAATATCATATTAGTTAAAAGACAATTATACCCCGACAATTGGGTAGATGTAACTGTTGGCCGTCGTGGTGGTGGTGGTGGGTGGTGGTTCCAAAAGTTAAGGCTTTTTTGGTGGTGGGTGATGTGTTGCAGAAGAGAGAGAAAGTGTATAGAGAGATTGGTGGTTGGTGGTTGGTGGTCGGTGATGATGGGGTGATGGTGGTGGTGGTGCCGCCGACGACTGTGGTTGCATAACCCAAACCCATTTTTGTGGTCAGGTGAGGTTGAGGCGGGGGTTAGAAGCGATGGCGTGGTTCACAGCAGAAACTTCAGGCGACAGAAGCAGCAACATGGTTTAGGGCGGCGACGGCGAGGACAAGTGTTTGTCGCAGGGGGAGAGAGAGCGAGCTAAGCTTCTTTTGCTCGCCGGCCGCCATCTGAAGCCCCCTTGCTCGTTGGCCATAGCCGAGCTCGGTGGACTGAATCAGCATTGAGAACTATATATATATTGATTATCTGGGTTTGAGAGAACTGGCGAAGGGCAACTGGAGAAGGATTCGCGGGACTTGGTAGCGAGTGGATTAGCGGGAGAGATGACAACTCCAATTCGGCAGTAAAGAGCTCGGCTTGGAGATGGAGAGTGAAGACGGCTATGAGAATGTTGATGGCACCGGCGAGACAAATCCGGTGGTGGCAAATCCAGTGGAGACGAGCTCTGCGAAGAGGGAGATGACTGGGTCTTGGAGATCCGATGAGACAGATCCGGGTCTTGGATTTACAGATCGAACTGGATCGGCGGAATTTGGGGATGGATGAGGAGTAGAATCGGAAGAAATCTAGGGCGAAGGTTGTGGATTTGAGGACTTCTGAGGATTCGGAGTGTTTGGAAGTAGTCAGAAAGGTCAAGGAAAGGGTCTGATGATGAGGATTAGAGGATCTGAGCGACCTTGCAGATGAGGTCGTGGCGAGGGAGACATCGGTTTGGAAGGTGGGAGAGTCGACTTTGACGGCGAATGAGCGGCTATTGTCGGATTCAACGACGACTCCGCCGCTGTATTTGGTGGTGGTGTTGTGCTTGTGTGTGTGTGTGTGTGTGTATATATATATATATATATATATATATATCTGTGTGTGTATATAGGAGTATATATATGTCTGCCTGTATATATAATATAATTTGTAAATTTACAAATTTTTAAGGGGCCATATTGTCTTTTAATACTGATATTTTGTAAAAAAATAAATTAAAAAAATGAGGGTATACCAAAGTCAGGGTCAAATTAAAGTCAAAGGGTAAAAATGTCTTTTTACATGTAAAAAGTAGTCTGACACATCTGTAAACTAACTTTTGGGGTGTGAGTGAAAAACGAAGCAAACGTTTGTAATGTGAGTAATAGTTATTTTCGAAAGATATTTTAGGCTGATATATTGCCAAATTACTGGGGGTGTCAGTGAAATTATCCCTATTTTTAAAGAAACAATAAAACATTCAATAATATGAGAATTAATTGTTTAGGGTGAGAGCCTGACTGGGCAGGCCCACGCTATTAAGCTTCTAAGCCCAAATTGCTAATGAGTGAGCCCAGACCAAAGCCCTGAAGTCTAGCCCACCCAAGAAGGCCCGTCAACGGCCCTCCAAAAGGGCCCAGTTCAACAGTTACAGTTTTTTTTTTTTTTTTTTGGCGTAAGTAACCAGACAATTAGTGGTGCAAAACGAGGACTTCTTGCCTACAGTGGCATAGTCACATTAGGCCAATTGCTCCATTGGATCCCCACTAGAAACTTCCCCCATTAATTCATGACTTTATCTTTTTTAATAACGTTGGGAGATTAATCCCCCATTAATTCATGACTTTATCTTTTTTAATGTTGGGAGAGTAACCTCATTAAGTCAAAAGAAAAGACTGCCGCGTGGGGCGTTCGCATTTTCAGTGAGCCAAATCCGTCAACTTTGACGATGAAGAGAGTTTTCCAGTAAAATTTCACGATCTAATTCACCTTCATTGGCACAAAACCAATTAAAATTAAATTAAAAATAAAATAAAAAAAGACCTAAAGAAAAACTTTCAAAATTAAAACAGAAATCTCATTTTCTAACTCATTTGCACGACAAGATTTTCAAAATTAAAAAAAGAATCATGTTTTTTTCTCCAACGAAAACCTCAAGACCCTACCAAAAAAATTTTAAATTAAAATCCAGAAAAGACCCATCTTTTGCCATTTATTATTTTAGTTCAAATTTTTTTATCATATCATTGTAATGGCTGCCCTCTAAATAAATTCATGGCTCCACGATTGTCCGTCCAAACATGTTTAATTGTGAAGTTTTGATAGAATTTGATGTATTAGTACGGATCTAAACAACCCGTATTTTTTTTTTCTTATTTTTTGTCTTTTTGACAAAGTAATTTTAAGAGATGAAGATCCAGTGTCGGTTGAGTGTTCCTCTTAAATCAACTGAGTTTATTATTCACATAACGAGTTAATTTAAAAATAAAAAATAATAAATAATAAATAAATAAAAAATAAAAAATAAAAACTGATCTGACCCAATCTTTATGGGTTTAAACGTGATGGAGCCCAGCCGGGCCTGGCCCAATCTTTCATGAACACACACCATCACACCGGACACCATTTATACGTGTGTCAGTGTATTCAGAGAGAGAGAGAGAGAGAGAGAGAGATGTCCAGGCCCTACCACAATCCCATAGACTCATAGCACCAACACCAGGACAACAACTCTTTTGACTGTAGAAACAGCACTCGAGTCTTGAAGTCCAACAGAGACTAAACCAAAAAGGCTTCCATTTTATTGCTACTGCAAAGATTTCTGCTTCTACCGGCTTCCAGGTATCTTCTTCAGTCCCTTTCTCTTTTAATGTTTGAATTTTAGTTTTTTTCTTCTTCTTCAAATAATGGGTTTGATTCAATCTTCTATTTCTCCTACATTAAACATTCACCACATTTTCACCTTCAAATATATATATACATATTCAGATAAGATCACAAATACAATTTTCTATTTTATCTTTTGTTCGATTTTTTTTTTTTTATGGGTTTTGGTTGGTGGTATGGAATATTATTCGATTTTTGTTCTGTTATTGGATATTTCTGAAGATGGGTTTTGGGTTGCTTTCTGGAATATATTCGATTTTGTTTCAAGTTGTTGGTGGATATTTTGTTCATTAGGGTTTCCATGGATTTGTAACTTTACCTTTTTGTTATGTCGTTTGGGCTACTTTCCAGTAATGGATTTCCATAGGAAGATGAGATTCTTTTAATTGGGGAAAATAAAATGGGGACTGTGTTGATTATAGTTGAGACTGAACTTTGGTGGAACTAAGAGGAACTTCTATTTTTTTTTATTTTTTTTTTAATGGTATTATTATTATTATATTGACTAAATACTCACACCAACTCGTAAATGCCTACTATGGAGCTCGAATTCATCACCTTCCCTTAAGGGAGAGGTTATACCAAAGATGGTGGTTTTATAATCTTTATTTTGGCATAGGAAAGATTGATTATAACAGAGATTGAAGTGGAAGAGAGAGGGAATTAAAAAATTCTTTATTTTGGCTTAGAATGATCTGATCTCTTACACTTGTGCTATTTTATTCCTTTCTCAGAGTTTTGGACAGAACAAAATTTTGGAATATCCGATTGCAGAGATAAGTGGAAACTTAAATTATTCACGAAAATGTGGCCAATAAAATTCCAAATAGGTTGAAAGTTCATCTGATTCTTATATGTGAACAATATTGAAGTATCTAAATTAACATGAGTTTATATCAAACTTAAAACATAAATAGACTACATTTTGAAAGACACGATATAGAAATTATATTCATGCAGCCATTTTGTCTCCAAAGAGCCCAGTTCAATGTTATCAAGGGCCCAAGGCGCACTAAGGCGATACAAGTCCTTTGGAGCCTAGGCGCAAGGCGAGGCGTGCACCTGAGTGAAGCGAGTCACACAATTGAAAAATTAGATTACTATTAAAGCATATTCATATTCCATATTAAAGGCACAAATGTTGTCAAAGGCGCACCTTGGCACACAACAGGAGCAGGCATGAGTTTTGGTCTGTATGAGCCTGGAGCCTAGGAGTAGGTGCGTTCCTTTAACAAAACTCCCCAGTTTGTTTTGTATTTGGTTGCTAAGAAAGAATAAATAATTTGTTTCACGGAATTAGGGAACTTTATGCAATTAACTATTTGTTCTTGGATTCTACACCAAATGAGGCATTAGAAACATATGTGCTTCATGTGGAATCAACTTCAATATTTGGTTGGGGTTGTGAAACAATACTAATTTTTGGCTTTCAGGCCTGGGTTATCATTTTCAGACTTCTAGTTAAACTTAATCTGCTTTTAGATTTGAGAGAGGTTGACCTGGGGTAGTTTTTAAAAGTAACTTTTTGAGAAGTTTGTCTAATATGGCATGCATTGATTTGAACTTTGAGTTGGTTTTAACTCTTTCTTTCTTTTGCTTGAAGAAGTGGGATTTAGCTTTGGTTGATATATATGAAAATTACGTTTTAAAAAATAAATAATAATAAAAAGTTGTATAAGAAGTAAATGAGAAAAAAAAAATTAAAAAAGTCGGTAGAAAAAACCATGGATAGGCTTGTTTTGAAGATCCCCTTCTTCCAGAGAGATCATCTAAAATCTGAGTGGTTTTGAATGTATTGAAAACCCAAAAAAAAAAAAAAAAATCTGAGTGGTTTTGAATGTATTGAAAACCCCCCCCAAAAAAAAAAAAGAAAAAAAAAAAGAAAATAGAAGAAGAAGATATTAGGGGTCTCTCTCTCTCCCCCTGGTAAATTTATTCATATTTTAGATCTGCCAAATTAAACCAAAAGTTTCATGTTCAATTTGAATTCGAGACGCTACAAATACTGCGTCAATGTCAACTCTAATCCCTAACATAAGATGTGGGTTCAATTCCTTCTACCTGCTCTATATACTCTACATATGAATATTTTATATGATATTGATTAGAGTAATCTCTATTTAGTTGGAATATTACATCATCTTAATTGATTATACAGCTACTAAAATTATGTCCCATACAATCCAACTATTTTTCAAAAGAAGAAAAGATAGGTAGGACATTGAAAATGCGAAAATAAAAAGAATAAGAGGTCATGTGAATAAAAAAGATCATGTGATAAGAGTTGTTTTTCGCTTAGTTAATCTTTCTTATTCGTCATATATACAAATTTGATCTTTAGGTGGAACAAGGGGAGTATGAGAATATCCGGTTCATGTTCCATTGTTCCAACTCTCGTGAAACTTAAACTTAGTAGCATTTTGTCAGATTGATGAGTTGTTGCTTTTTGCCTTTGTTTTACTTGTGTTCAGATTTGTATTGGGTTTCTAAGAGTGGAAAGTTTTGGAGATTCCATCATGTTCAGGCAGTCTCCTAGCAGAAACCAGAGGTCCAAAGGTGGTATCAAGGCCAAGAATGTCCTGCAAATTTGTTTGCTGCTTGCTGTTTGCTTTTGGTTAATTTACCAAGTCAAGCATTCCCACGATAAGAAGAAAGAATTGGATGAAGAGGGTGCAAAGATTTCGCTTAGATTAAAAAGTGATGAAATTTTAAAATTTGGAAGGAAAGATCTCCATCCTCGTTTGGAGGAAACAACTATAAAAAATGAGAGGCGCGACGAAGAAGAAGTCGAGGAAGAAGAAACTGGAGGAGAAGAAGAGAACAAACATGAAGAAGAAGTTCGAGAAGAAGATAGCAAGGCTGAAGAGAAAGAAGATGAAGGGAGAGGAGGTGAAGATGAAGGGAGAGGAGGTGGAGATGATGAGATAGATGAACATGATCAAGAGAAATCCGATGTGGAGCTTGATGGTGAAGAAGATTTCATGGATGAAGAGAAGGAGGGAGAAGAGGGTGATGAGAAGGAAAGTGAAGAGATAGATGCAGAAGATAAAGAAGATGAAATTGAGAATGGAAGTTCCTCGGTTCATGATCCTGATGGAGGTGGAAGGAATACTCACGAGGCACGAGAGGAACATTATAAGGCAGATGATGCTTCTAGTGCTGTTACCCATGATACCCAAACTGTAAGCACTGAAAATGAAGAAGTAAGTTTGGAAAACTCAAAAGAGAACACAATTCCAGAACAGGAAATTGAAGTCACTAAAACTAAGGACATCGGTATTGGACAGAACTCCACTGGGCTGAAGATTGGGGACAGAGAAATGACTGAAAATGGCACTCCTCTAGATGCAACAGCTAGCAAAGAAAAGGGTCTTGAGATCGTTCCATCTAGATCTGAGTATAGCTTGCCTGTGAATTCTACTATGACAGCAGAGTCATCCGACAATCAACCAGAAATAAGGGACAACTCAACAGAAGTTAGTACAGAAAATCATGGTTTATCACTGAATGGAACAGAGACCACATCAGATTCAACTCAAGCTCAAAATACCACAATAGGGTACACAACTTCAGTAGAAGGTTCTCACACACAAATCATTTCCAAGGAACAGGCCAATAACTCCAACACAACCTTCGATGAGAAACATTCTGATTCTAATTCAACGCTTCTCACAAATACTGAGAATCCTGGATCATCCACAGTAAACTCAACAAATTCCTCTACTAATTTAGAGTCTGTAATACCAGAAACGGTCATAAGGTCTAATGCATCAGCTGAAACAGAGGATGGCTCCGGAACTTCAATAACAGATGCAGGTCAGAATGAGAAGCCGGACACCAGTAATAAAAATGATGGAACAAATGAAAGCTCCAAAACTGAGGATGAAGACAAGGTTCAACGTGATCCGATTGACTCATCTGATTCTTCCATCATCTCAAGGGATAAAGAAATTAGGATCGAAGGAAGTAGCAGCGAAGATGTTGCTGCGGAATGATATTCCTGATTAAATGCTGTTGGGTTAGCTTTTCCAATTTCCTCTTGTAATATACATATTTTCTTTTTTTGTATGTCTACTACAAATATATCAAGCTCCTAGTTTTTTCCTGCTTGATTGTGTCAAAATGTTGATCAATATCTAGAGAATATCGGTTCAACTTTGCAGGCAAAATGAATAGATATATATTATTGAAGTTTGTAATGTTTATAATTATTTTCTGTTGCCTTTACTTCCTTTTTTCCCTTCAAAACTTAACTTAACTTGGCTGTTTATTTGTGAGGAAAACTCTTCTTGATTTCCTGGAGGCTCAAAGATATCCAGAAGGTCTTTGGACTTCACACTTGAACAGTTATCCAAACCTTTATAACCTTTATTTCATAATAATGAATATGTTGCCAAGGGATTCCAAATTACTTCACAACTTGTTAAAATGTCTTTTTCCTTAGGTAAGATGAAAAACTTGTAATTACCAAAAGCAAAAACTTATAATTACCAAAAGTACAAATTCTGAGACTTGAACCCCTGAACTCCCTTTGCGAGGTAAGAGGCCGATACTATTAGGCCACTGCCCGTTGGTTATAAATGTCAGGCTTATGGAAGTAAAAACTATGAAGCAATTTCCGTTATAGTGGTATCTCATTTATCTCCCAAACAAGAAGTGAGGGTTCTGACGCTCACATGAACAAATGGATGTGTAATTTATTATTATTTTTATTATTATTATTATTATTATTATTAAAATAAAAATAATAAAGAATAATGATGATATGCTCAACTGCTCAAGGTAAGCAGGGTAGGGTTGTACTTTTCCTTACTACAGAGTAGGTTCAAGTTGATCGGGTGGTGAGGAGTTAGGTTAGGCTTCGGCCACAAATATATGGATGCAAATTTGGTGGGTTGAGGAGTTAGGTTTGGCTGCGCCTCTATCGCACCAAGACTTCAATCCTAGCCCACCAAAGTCAATATTCAACCCACCTTTCCCAACCTAAACTTATCCTATGCTTAAATTTTTGAGGTCTGATCGGGAAAGTCGAGTTGTAAATTAGGTTGAGTTCAAAGTGGTAGCAATTCAACCACGTTTTTTACTACTTCGTATTATTTTTAGGGTAAAATGTAAAAAACCCCCCTTGAAGTATTGGCTATGTAGCAAAAAACCCCCCTGATCTAATAAATTAACAATTAACCCCCCTGAATTAGGGATTTGGTAGCAATTTACCTTGTCCGGCGATCTTCCGGTGGATTTTGAGCGCGTGCAAGTCACCTAACAACCTAAATATAATTAAATGACAATATTGCCCTTTAATATATAATTCATTTTAATAATAAAAATAAAAATAATATCTAAACTTGTAATCACCTATTTCTGGACGAAAATTTAGGGTACTTTTTCCTTTCATTCACCAATCGATTTGTGTATTTCACTTTGATGGCTCTGTCAATTCAAGGGATTTTAAAAATACACCGGAGCAATTCGTCTCAATCAAGTTTTGGATTAAACAAATCTGGAGCAATTTGTTTAGTTTTTGAATTCTGTAGTGATCAAGTCGTCGATGGTGTCACCACTGTCCATCAGGATCGGCTGGTGACGGAGGAACTGCACAGCGACGGAGGTGGAATGGACCGGCAATGAAGTGGCGGCAGCAGCGGTGGGGAAGAAATGCAGCGGTGAGCTTGGCGAGCTGGTTCGGCAGTGGCTCGGCCGTGGATGACTCGGCGGCGCTCAGATGAAGCGACAACTGGGGGGACAAGCTCGGATGGTGAAGAGGACCAGCGAGCAAGGTGAGCTGAAAGGCGATGGGCTGGTTCGGCCATGGTTGCGGCTGAACGGCGATGGACTTTCTCTTAATCAAATCTTGGATCTGGTGTGTCCTTACCCCAAATTAGAAAAACATGAGAATTTTTATTTTTTCTTTTTTTCTTTTCTCCCTTGCTCAAAAAATCTGCCCACAGTCAACCTCTGTCCTCAACCATCTTCATCCTCACCGGACAACCACACCAACCAGTCAACCCGTGACTTCTCCATTATCGGCGGCAGCATACTCGCCGACTTTCTACCTTCGCCATCTTTTTCACTGTCGGCACCTTTAACCGTCGGCAACCATAACCTCTTTACTGTGTCGGCAATCATAACCCTTCACCGCCAAAGCCGCAACATCCTCACAATTCATCCCTGTCGTCGTCTGACTCGCGGCGAACGGGCTTCTTCAGTCTGAACTCTACGCCGCCGCCTTTATGGTGGTGGTTGTGGAACTGGGTTTAAAGAGCGTCGTGCCCGCCGTTCATGATCGGAATCGGTGCTGTCTCAGACCGTCTTTCATTGTGATTGTGAACAGTCTAGAAGCTTTTGCCAACTCATCACCCTCCATGTCAGACCATAGTTTTTGTTGTTGAAATTTTAACTGAAACGACGTAGTTTTTTTAAAGGGTAAAATTGTTTTTTACTATTTTCGTTTACATCAATTGGCCGAAGATGTCACATTGGGGGTCAATTGCACCAAATTTAATAGTTCAAGGGGGCAAATTGTAGTTCAGGGGGGTTAATTGTACATGGCCAATAGTTGAAGGAGGGTTTTTTGCATTTTACCATTATTTTTATTAGAAAGTTTTTAGGAATTAAAACCTCAAGATCCGTGATATCTCCTCTAAATGGTAAAGGTTTGATTAATTCGGAGAGAGTGTAAGTTTCTATCCAATGAAAAAAATAAAAAAATAAAAAAATTGAAATCTTATAGAATGTAATCTTTTAAAATTAATAATAGTCCATGCATATAATTTTTATAACGGTTCATTTTCTTCATGCATGTTATGTTACTTTTCCCCTTTTTTTTTCCTAACAAAAAACTCCCACAGTACTCTTGAAAAGACATGATCTATATAACTCTCATTTCGCAAAGAGAAGATAGATCTGTTTCAACACTTAAATGATGCAAGTTCTATAACTCTTATTTCACAAAGAGAAGATAGATCTGTTTTCAGCACTTGAATGATGCAAGTTCCATGTGATTCATTTAGGGATGGAATCAGTTTGGGCCCAGAGGACATGTCCCGCGGACCCAGACTGGCCCATTAAATTTTCTTACATATACTAACATATAATTTGTGTATTATTATATAATGCCCCTCAAATTATTTTAAAACTGGCTCATTAATTTTTATATATCTCAGTAAATAAATTTTAGAGTTCTAAGTTTCAACTATCTACATCTAATAATCTAAAGGTTTCGACTCTCTACATCTAATAATCTAATAAGACATTTTTTTGGAGCATCCCAAAATAAAAAGAAAAATGAACAAGTATTTTGGAACAAAAAAATATGCACCCTTTGTTCCAAAATAAGTGTCATGTTTTTTCTTTTTTGTCTGTCCCAAAATAAGTTTGCTCTTTCGTTTTTCAAATAATATTTTAAGAGGATAATTTAATAATTTTTCAAGAAGACAATGCAGGTCTCACATGTCCCCTTAGTATATATATACTCGCTTTTGAGTAGGAAGATATGTCTTGTCTCCCTAAAAAAGTTATTAATTTGTTTTCTGAGTTTTGAATATTTAAATTTATAAAATATATTGTTTGAGAAAGAAAAGTGACATTAATTTTAAGACAAACTAAAAAAAATAAGTATGATTTTATTTTATTTTATTTTATTTTTATTTTTTTTTTTGAAACAAAGAAGTATTTAGATAACTAGTCTCTGTGCCACTGTGGAGGAGCTTCATAATTTTTCACGAACTAGTATAATTGTAGAGATCTCTTATGGTACTCGTGTTTGTACGATGACCATCACTTCACACATTCATGACCGACCAAAACTGCTGTACAGCATAGGATCCCACTCACATTGTCAGAACCAATATAATCACTTCGACATTTCCACCACATAAATCATACCATATGATAAATCCAAAACTCCCCAACTGTCAACCTAGTCGTTGCCAACCATGAAACCAATCACCCAAATAAAAAAAAATATTTTTAGACCGACATTGAATTTCAAATTTTCAATCTTATTTTTATACAAATAAATGAATAAAAAATTTTTAAAAAAATTACAAAACCAACGTGTCCTCTTATCAATGCTGTACACTCAAAAAACCAGCTAAAAAAACAACTGTTAGGTTACCGGCAAATCCAACAGCCAAACAACCTAACCACCCCGAAAACGACATGGAACTCCGAATCAAACGACACACTCCTGACTCTGCTGTCTCAGCTCCTTCCGGAGCTTATGTGAAAACAACCTGCAAGCATCCATGCTCAGATCCATCGCCGCCGCGAGAGCCACGAACACGGCGGCGTCCTCCGTGCACGTCACGTGCTGCACCCCCACCTCCACCTCCGGCTCACTGCACCGCCGCACGCCCTCCACCGTAGACGACATCACAAACCCGCCGTAAAATATCTGCGCCCACGACCCGGACCCGGGTTCCGACCAAGATCCGGATCCGAAGTCAAAACTACTGCCCGGACTATTCACTGGAGTCGAGTCCGTACTGATGTCAATTGTGAACTTTCCACCGTTTTTGCTGCTGAGTGTGGAATTGGCGACGGTGACGGCCTCTGTGCCGCCATTGAAGGCAGCGTCGGGGATGAGTGCAAAGCGGTATCCGAGGGCGTCGCCACGCTCCCGCCAGGCCTCGAGGCGGCCCCACGGCTTCCATGTTCCGTGGCCGGGGCGGAGGATGAGCCAGGCTCCCGGGTTGGACCGGCTGACACGGTCGGTACCCGGTGATGGGACGAACGGTGTCACCATTGATGCGGCGGCTACCGGTGATCCGTAGAGGTCGTGGACTGTAATTGACCACCCTTTTCGCTCTTTTGAGGGTGGTTGTTCATCACTCGTATGTGAACTCAACCAGCTTCTTGGAGTACTCTCTTGTGACAGTGATGATCTGTTGAATAACAAATTACCCAAATCCAAGATTAATATATTGAAATCATGAGAAGAAAATCAGACAAGAAATCGAAATTTCAGTTCAATTTTTTGAAAACAGTTTCAAGCATTCAAACACCACTTTTCAAAAGAATGTCAACCAAATAAATTTTTATATAAATTCTTACTTTTAATTCACCCAAAAAGTGTTTTCAAAAAATTAAACCAAAGACACATATCATGAACTGTTTTTAAATATCAAATTAAACATCAAGAAAAAGAAAAACCAACCTTGAAGTCAAATGTCTCTCGCCGGAGTTTCTGAAACTGAACTTGCAGGTGAAAACAGGCTGTCGAATGCTACCATTGACCTGAAAAACTTGGGGACTACATTCGGGCTCGCCGTCGAACTGAAACACGAATCTTGGATCGGGCTCTGCCTTCACATTCAAGTGCAATTGCGCCGGTGACCCCTTCCGTTTATCGCTGACGACAATCCATCCGTTTCGAATCGCACAAACCCTAGACTCCGCCCCTTTCAGATCCAGCGGCACCGAAACACACCCCAAAAGCTTCCCACTCTTCAATCCGCATACACCATCTCTCCGACCGGTATATACCTCGATATTCAAACAGTAAGGCTTCGAAGCACTCGATGACTGGTCGATGAGCTTGTCGAACTGCGATTTGTTCAGATTGAAGCAAACGGCGGTTGAAGAAAGAACATGTTCGTCACAATTGTCCTGTGAAATCAGAGGGATCGAAGTGGTTTGGGAAGCGAAGTTCTTGATCTTGATCTTGCAGAAGAAGCACGGAGACGACGATTTCGACGCCGCGGGGAACTTCAGAGCCAAGTTTCCGACGACAATTCGAACGAAAAGACACGGATCCATGACTACGTATGTAGATGCAGTCCTCTTTTCTCTCTCTACAAAAGTGAGAGCAAAGGGAGCAGAGTAGCGGTGATGTGTGTATAATGTATATATAATTGTATATGTCTGTGTGTGTATGTGTAGAGAGAGAAAGAGGACACAGGCTGGCATGGATTGGATTGGGGAAGGGAATAAGATATAGTTAGCTAGAGAGAGAAAGAGAGATGCATGGGTGGGCATGAGTGAGCTGTGTGCACGTACGCAAAAAGGTGCCAGCGAAGAGCATCTCTGTTGTGCCAGTGGAGCCACTGCTGATGCAAACTCTTGTCTTATTCAACTTTCTCTCTCTACACCGCTTTCTCTCTCTAGGCTTACGGCATGGTTTTTAATTGGCTGTTTGTTTTGGGCTACAACTGGTGGACAGCTATTGAACCTTTTCCTTTTTGGCCAGTAGGACCAGGGTTGGACGCTAGTTTTCACCAACTAATTGGTGGGTGATTTGTGGGTCCCACTATTCCACCATCATCTTTCCTTGCATTTCATTCCTGTTTTGATTTTTTTAATATTGGATTCTATGGTATTGGGGGATTAGGAGAGGAGATTGAGGAGGGTGGGGTCTACTTAAAATAAAATAAAATTTGATTACAAACTTTGGTAGGTGTTATATTATGGAGCTAGATTATCTAATCTTGTCCTATCAATTTACATGCACATGAATTTGGTTTAGGTCAGCATTGTGTTTGTGTGTTTTGGCATATATTATATTTTTGCCATTTACTCCATTAATAAATCTCATGAGAAATTTTTTGAAGGCTTAGTATTATTATTATTTTAATTATTTTATAATAATAAAAAAAAAAATCTGTGTTTATGTTTTTGGCATATAGTATATTTTTGCCATTTACTCCATTAATAATTAGATTTTTTTTTTATAAAATAATTACAATAATAATACTAAGCCATCAAGAATTTTATCATGAGAGTTATTAATGGAGTAAATGGCAAAAATATACTATATGCCAAAAACACAAACACAGATTTTTTTTTTTATTATTATTATAAAATAATTAAAATAATAATAATACTAAGCCTTCAAAAAATTTCTGATGAGATGCACCACAGGTAGGGATGGCAAAATGGATCAGAAACCATCAACCCGTCCATATCCGCCGCTTTTTAATAGTTATGGGTGAGCCAGAGTTTGAGGGTCAAGATGGGTTGGATAATTTTTAACTACTTAGTTTGAAGGTCAAGATGAGTTGAATATGGTTAACCATATTCAACCCATATTTCACCCATCACATAATAAACACACAACACACACACACATTTATTCCATATTACACTCAACTCATTTATCTCTCTAAAATTCTATCACTAACAATTCTCTCTCTCTATATTTGTCTCTCATCAATTTCCTCTCTCTAGGTTTCTCTTTCTAAAAATTTCTTCTAAAAAAAATAAAAATTTTCAAAAATTAAAAAATAATTTAAAATAAACTGAATAATAAAATTAAATTTTTATTATATTTTATTAAAAAAAAATTGAATGACTTTTTTTTAACAAATTGATATTATTATTATTTTTTATTTTTATTTTTTATTTTTTTTTTCGTGTTTAGATGCATCGCAGGGTAGTCGCAAATCAACTGAATAATAAAATTATTAAAAAAAATTGAATTACTTTTTTTTTTAAACAAATTTTACTCATTTCATCAATATCCGTCTTCCTTCTTTTTTATTTATTATTATTTTATTTTTTTTACTTTTTTTGCAATAAACCACTAAGTTGGGATTTAACTTTTTGATAAAAAAAAGAAAAATAAAATTAAACACATCAATATCATTCTTTCTTTATTTAATATTTTTATGTTATTTGTTTGATAAAACTAAAAATATAGACTAAAAAAATTAATTGCTGAAATTTCAAGTCATAACCAAATGACCAATTACCACCCCTCCTCCCATAAAGGTAAAGGTAAGGGATTTGAGTCTCTTCGAAGGCAGAGTGTGTGCATAAATTATTTTAACAGTTCAGTGATAAGGTGAAGTCACTGTCACTTCAAATTTTGCTTGAATGTCCTTATTTATGTAAGTAATATTTAAAATGCACTTGATTGATTAAATGCTTAATTCATTTAGAAATAACAATAGAATTGAATTATCGAACAGTACCTTAGTTGTTAAAGAATAAGCATATAAATTACAATATATTTTTTAGTTTTTTTAATATGTAAATTATATTTCATATTCGTTACGTACGTAGGTGTGATATATAAGTTATATTATTCAAGTAACATGTTGTTTATATATTATAAAACCAATACATAAATAAATTAGATGCTTATCAAAACTAATGCTTCGGCTTCAGTGGTTTTATATTCCCAAAAGGAGAGGTTTGTGAGTTATAAACCTCAATAATAGAAGAAGCATTATTGTGAGTTAAAAGGTTTCACTATAATTATGAAAAAAAAAAAAAAAAAAATGGGTTTCACTATAAACATAGCAAATTTTTGACAAGAAAAAAAAAAAACCAAAGTGTGGCACGCTCAAGCCGGGCTTTGGACCTACAATTTGGACCAAACGGGCCAGGTCCATTGGGTTTCACAGGCCGAATTAGGGAGAGAATGGAGATAGAAGCAAAACTCATTAAATACCAACCCAAATAATCACAAGAAAGTGCATACCAATCACCTTCAAAGAGAGTTTAGTAGTACTTTGCGACTTTATTAAATAAAAGATTGAGAGTTTAAGTTCGTTTAAAATAAAAATTCTATGATTTGTCGTTAAAAAATAGTTTTAAAAAATGGTATCCTCATGTTCCAAATACTGTAATTATCCCATCTACTTGACTAGTCCTAGCCCTTACTTAGTGTTCCTGCTAAGCAAGTCCATACCTTGTCCCAATTACTTTTTATTCTAAACCTTCTCATTGCATTGGCTGATGGCTAAATCTTCAAGCATTTGTAACCATTTGCCGTTCAAAAACAATTGTCTTCCACTTCAAAATAAATTGCAATAATAAAACCATAAAAGAGGGAATAAAGTTTGTGGACCGTCGCAAAAAGTATGCAGTCCATCTCAAAGATATTAGATATTGACTTTATTAAAAGCCAAAAAAAAATAATAATAATAATTGAAATTTAATTAGATTAATCAAGAATTGAAATAAAAATCAAACTTCTTACCAAAATTTCTATATATAAGTAATTTATAAATTTATTTTATTATATCCCTGCACACACCCCACTTCTTCAATAATTACATCTGTCTAGTTCCAATATCAATATCAGCTCATGCATACATGGGAGAAACCTACAGATATGGCTGCCATTAGTGGCGAAGTTAAATCATTAAACTAAAAACATTTCTTTCTAACGAAATAGAACTGATTAGCAGGTTGAGGGGAGTCTAAACAATTTAGCCTAACAAAAATCAATCTAACTGGTTTTTATATTTAATTTCTCAAACTATTATTTCCTCCCCAAAAGTTTTGTAATGGTATAATAACAACCCACTTATTTATAGGTCAACCTATATTAGCTCTAGTAAAACTCCTACAAAATATCTTAGATAAATATTTTTACTGATCAAGGCTTATAATGATTCTTTAAGAAGCTCCTACAAAATCTCGTAGGGTATATTACTCAACAATAATCTTGTATAATCTAAAATACCAATGGACTAAGTCTGAGTATGACACCGGCAGTTCATGTAAGCAATAAAAGAACACAGTAATCTAGACTATTCTAGTTGGTGGACACAGTCTTCCCCAACTAATTGGTGGTCACATGGCTCGCTCTATAAATATTGAGACGTACGGCGAGAAATTTGAATTTTTTTTTATTTTAGTATATTAACATAAAATATATAGTAATTAAGCCTACAAATTTTTGAATCTTTATACTAATTAAACCATAAAAATAAGTATAAATAAATAAAGAATAAAATATATAATAACAAGGTAGAAGAATTTTAAAAAAATAAAAAATATGTGAAAAATGGGAGATATTTTTAAATAGAAGTCTATCAAATAATGACATTTTTAAGTTCAATTCAATAAAAAAAAAAAAATTAGAAATAATTTATAAAATGAGTTCAATCTATTTTTACTACTAAAAGAAAGTCAATTAAAATAAGTAAAATTCTAAGTAATTGTATTTTACGGAGTCTTTCCACTAATCCTTATGTACAAGGGTTTTTTTTTTTATATAAAAAAATAATAATAATAATAAAATAAATAAATAAATTTCAAAAGAATGTCCCTTTCTATCTAATATTACATACTTATTTGAAGTCTTATGCAACCGCCTCAATCGCACATTCGTTAAACCGATCCTGAGTGGTCCCACCCATGATTCGCACTAGTGATCACATTATCGGTATCAGTCGCGGTATCTTACCTTGCAATTCAATTTTTTTTTTTTTTTTTTCCAATAAATGGTTAATAACAATTTTTTTTTTTTTTTTTGTAGATTAGTTTATCACTTTGTAACAAGCGATGACTAGATGTAAGCCGGACGATTCATATCCAAACTAACCGGAATGACCATACTTCCTCCCCAGTGCTTGGATGTAGTCGTACCGGCCGAGCCTTGTTAGATGGAATAAGTGTGGAGTAGGTGGTTAGAAATTCTATTAGTGGAAGCCCTTACTACACGTGGCTAGAGAACAGGTTCGGTATTAATCTAGACCATTTAATATGAGATAAGATACGATCTTAATCAATAAACATACATTTGTCTCACACATTATGGAGATGGTGGGAAGATAAATATTTTACATCGGATAATAATTGGAGATACCATTATTTCTAATATATTTTTGCTATCATATTATTAACTCTATTTTTTTTTTGGCTAGTTGATTACTCACGCACATCCTCCTTAAAGAATTATTAGTATTTAAAAGGTATCGAACTTTAGACTTTGATAACTCTTTTTTTCCAATAAAATCAATTTACAACAAAAGAGATGCCTTCGAAACAGCAAGAAGACAGCCCACCAGCCCAAGATCAAAAGGCCTAAGGCAAGAAAACAGCAAATTCAAAACAGGAAGAGGCCCAACACATCACCTAAGTGACAAATGCACCAACAAACTCTTCAACTCAAAATCTGTTGGAATATAGGAAATAAGGGAGGGGGGCAACCTGCAACACATAGAAGACAATATTGGGATTTGTATGCCCTGATATAGCAAATTCTTACTTGGATT